AAAAAAAAACCCCGGCTAACACCCCCCCCTTCTCAAATCCTAAAAACAAAACCCGATATGAAAAAAAAGTACAAATGGGGGCACTTTAAACCCGAACCAAACAAAAAAATTACTCGTCAATCCCCAACCCCGCCCGATAAGGGAAAGGGGAAAAAAAAAATTTTATTATTAGAACAGATTATCCAAATTATTGGGGGAAAATATAAAAAAGACCTGGAAAACCCTATCAGAAATTCCGGGGAAAACAAAAAAGATAACACGAAATAGCGAAAAAAAAATTAGCAAAATCAAAATGAACCCCAACTCCCACCAACAGAAACAGCAAACAGACTCAATGATTTCTCTCCACTATAGGACAAAACCTTGCCAAAAAAAATCCCAAGCTCAGATACCCCACCAAATGACTACCTCACGGCAACTCCCCCGAACCACTGTTCCTAGCTCCGACTAACCCATACGAAGTCTCCCTTATTATCAACGCACTAAAAAACAAGGCAGGAGATTTAATACCTTACCACCCCTTATATACAAAAAGTGTCACAAGTGCTATCACCAATCATTGCAACACTCTTTAACAAATCCATTGAATCCTCCACCTTCCCTACAGTTCTCAAAATAGAAAGGGGTTCACCCCGATCCATAAAGGGGGAGACCAAACAGAGTTGAATAACTATAGGCCAATATCCAATTTAAAACCCCTTCTCAAAAATTTTTGAAAAATTAATTCATAAACGAATCTACTCCTACCTCACTCCCAAAACATACTCAACCCCTGCCAATTTGGATTCGGGCCTAATAAAAATACTAATATGCTATTATACACATGCTAGAACATATATACACTGCAATAGAGAAAAAAGAAGTCCCACTGGGATCTTCATTGACTTACGTAAAGCTTTTGATACAGTTGACCATGACTTGCTCCACGTAAAATTGTCCACACTATGGTATAAAAGGGCACTCCCTCAACTAAACCCCAAGTCATACCTCAGCAACAGAAGCCAATTGTGTACGCAAACGGGCAAGCCTTCCGCACAACCAAATTACAGTTGGTGTCCCACAGGGGAAGTGTCCTTGGCCCTCTTCTCTTTCTCCTATACATAAATGACCTACCAAATGCTTCGCAATTACTCAAACCCACACTATTTGCAGATGACACTACATACGTCTTCTCTCACCCGAGCCCAGTCACGCTAGCCAATGCTGTAAATACCGAATTACAGAAAATATCTACCTGGATGAGGACTAACAAACTTACACTAAACATTGACAAAACCTACTTCATTCAGTTTGGTAACAGAGCTACAGATGTCCCTCTTAACATAATGATAAACGGATCACCTGTCACAAAGCTAACAGAGGGAAAATTCTTAGGAATCCACCTTGATAATACTCAAATTTCATACACATATACAACAAATTTCTAAGAAAATTTCCAAGACTGTAGGCATACTATCGAAGATACGGTACTATGTTCCACAGTGAGCCCTCCTGGCCCTATATCACTCTCTTATTTACCCCTATCTCACCTATGGAATTTGTGCATGGGGCTCAACAACAATTAACCATCTCAGACCATTAATTACCCAACAAAAGGCTGCAGTCAGAATGATAACAAATTCTCACTACAGGCAGCACACTCCACCAATATTCAAAACACTCAACCTACTCACCATACAAAACATTCATACTTATTATTGCACCTATTACATACATAGAACACTTAACTCTGATATTAACCCTCCCCTCAAACATCTCCTTACGAACCTCAACAGAACACATGACCATAACACAAGGCACAGATCACTCTTTGATGTTCCTCGTGTCCCTCTCACACTATGCAAAAACTCAATGCACATAAAAGGCTCTAAAATCTGGAATTCGTTACCTGTAAATATAAAAGAAACACTACCTGTTTATAAATTCAAGTCTCTTCTCAAAGATCACTTACTCACCCAAAACCAAATAAATACTGAATAACTGAACCTTACAAATTGTATATCTTAAATGTTTCTCACAATTATATCACATAAATGTTAAACCTAAAACCCAATCTAACTTTATTATTTTTAAATACACTACCTAACAGAATACTCCATTCGACTGAATGTACAGCAATGCATGCAACCATATGACCTGTCTTTGTAATACTCATTTGTGCTTTATAGTTATCTGTTTACAATAATGTTTTATCACTGATTTCATCATTGCTTAGTTAATCTTAAGTTAATTTTAAGCCAGCCCATAATGCTTTGCTTATAAGTGGCTTTGGCATGCTGCTCTTACCTGTATTTTTTGTACCTCTGAATGTATGCTCAAATTACTAAAATAAAATATATGTGACATTGTTGACATTGAGTCACCAACACGAAATGCAAGACAGGAAAATGAAGAGAGATGCCAATGACCCATTCCGATTACAATGCCATTGAATCTATTCATGGATTACACTGCCAGCATGAGTTTGGTGGAGAAATATGACATGTTGGTTAGGTTTGTTGACTGTGCCCACAAGGTGCCCCGTGGCCTAGTGGCAAAAGCTCTTGCTTCACACGGTGAGGGTCCGGGTTTGATTCCTGGTGAAAGGGTGGAAACATTGGATGTATTTCCTTATGCCAATTGTCTATGTTCACCCATCAGTAAAATGGGTACTTGGGTGTTAGTCAACTGGTGTGGGTCGCATCCTGGGACAAAACTGACCTAATTTGCCCGATACGCTCTGTATAACAAGGGGCTTTCTATAAGTAGTATGTCATTGATGTCAGCTAGGACTGTATATCTTGTACATGTACTTGTAGTAAATAAAGATTATTATTATTATTATTATTATTATTATTATTATTATTATTATTATTATTATTATAAGGGTTGCAAGTGGTACATGAAACTTTGCTTCCATCATGGACATTACAGTAATACCTTATTCTGCAAGTAATACCTTATCCTGTATAAGTTGCTAAAAGGACAAAGGAGAAATTTTATAGGTGGTTGTTTGTATAGTGTAGTGTGGTATGAAGTAAGAATTGACTGAGAATGTAATGAATGAAAAAAAAAGCTGGGTGTTCTAGCTCTTAGGCTAAACAGGCTAAAGTGGGTTGGAGAATTTCAGTGGGAGATAAAAATGGTAGTAAGTCAAGTGTATCTGAGAGAATCAGAGGAAAGGAAGAGCATTAGTTATATTTAATAATCAGTTATGGGAAGAGCAGAGGGAATGTGAGTGTATAAATTCAAGAATTATGCAGATTAAAATGAAAGCGGGATGCAAGAAGTGGGTAATAGAAAGTGCTTATGTGGTTGGGGAAGAGAGGAATGTAGAGGAAGAAGACTTTAGGAGGTGATGAGTAAGTGTTTAGGAAGTTTTGAATGAAGTGAGAAAGTAACTGTTGTGAGGGACCTAAATGTTAAAGTAAGAAAAACTGTTGTAGAGGGTGTAGTAGGTAAGTTTGGAGTGCCAGGCATCAATGATAACTGGGGCCTTTAACCCTTTGAGGGTACGTCCCTTGGTCCAAGCCATAGTTCTATGCCATGAGCTCAGCTCACTCAGATAAGCTGTGAGCAGTAAGTTTGGGCCTAAATATGAGAGAATGCATCTATGTGGTAAGTGTGCACCATATAAAACAAATCCTACAACACGCAGTGCATAATGAGAAAAAATTTGCAACCATGTTTTTGGATTAAAACAACGACTTTGCGGTGTATTTTCATATGTTTTTTACAGTTGTATTTGGAGTTTCTTAGTCTCGCTGAAGATATACAGTGGAACCTCGGTGTTCGTGATTAATCCGTTTGAACAAATCTGACGAAAACTGAATCATATGAAAACATAAGCAATATTTCTCAAAAGAAATTATGCCAATCCAATTAATCTGTTCGAGACATCCAAAAATATTAAAAAAAAAAAAAGAAACATTTTATAGAGAATAACTATAGTTTTACATACCAACTAGGGCATACGAAATAGAGATGATTTTGATTGGTTTTAGTACTGAAAATGGCTTGAAATTGAGCTCAAAGTAGCTGAAATGTTTGATTTTTGTCGATGTTCAAGGGTGAACAAATGACATCACACATCCAATACACATCAGCTGGTAGGTCTAATGTGTGTTCACAAATGCGCTGATATTATGTATACAATTATTACAATATTGCATAACAGTAAATCTTCTATTTTATGGTGTGAATAAAAATTCATTGTGAATAAAAAATCATAGTGGAATTCATTTGTAAAGCCTGGAAATGTAACTAAAAAACAGACAAAATGTTATATTAGTGCCAGGAATGCATGCATTGTTTATTCTGGACCTTATTTTGAAATTGGAATATTTTGAACTTTGTGTGAAATTGGCCAAATTTCTGATTTCTGACCACTTTATTGAGTGATTTCTTCTGCTCAATTGATAAAACAGAAGTAATACTAGCGAAATAACTAAGAATTTGGTTGACTGGAATAATATAATTGGCCTAAAATAGGAGTCAAAGTGAGCAAAATCGCCAATGTGCAAATATTGCTGACACAGCAAATTTCACGAGAGTGTAATTTCATCAGTTTTCCATCAATTTTTTACTTTTTGTTTTATTACCTTCAGAAAAAGATTCACTACCATTTCATAAGAAAAAATATTATTTATTTTTTAAAATTCTTGGACCCTGTGGACAAGGTTCAGATCAAGGGTCTGGACCCTCAAAAGGCTAATTTAGCTGTATATATAAAGAGGTTTGATAATAGGTTATACGTATTTTAAGGATAAAGAATAAATAGGTGTACGAGATATAATATAGGGTATGAAGATAGCAGTTTGTTGGAGCATATATTAGTAGATAAAAGAATAATGGAGAAACAGACTCAACCAGCTACCAGACTGTGGGTTCGAATCCCAGTCATTCCATTGTTTTGTTGTATTCATTTACTTACTAATTTCCAGCACATTTCCTCTGGTATGAAGATTAATACATGAAAACATCTTACAGACTACGTTTTAATGTATATCAATACCTTGCAGGTGTAAAATTGCTGTTGTAGCTGATGGCATCAACACTTTCTTCTGCCTGACGTCACGCTACCGCTTGGAGGATCTCACATACTTGAACCCAGAAAATTTCACTATCTTTCAGGCATTCATGCAATTATTCAATAATAATTGGGTAAGGTCTTAAGAACTTTTTTCTGCTTTTATGTATTTTAGCTCCAGTGTTTTGTCTCCAGTGTTTCATCTCAAGTGTTTTGTCTCAAGTGTTTCATCTCCACTGTTTTGTCTCCACTGTTTCATCTCCAGTATTTCATCTAGAGTGTTTCATCTCCAGTGTTTCATCTCCAGTATTTCATCTAGTGTTTCATCTCCAGTGTTTTTTCTCCTGTGTTTTATCTTCAGTTTGTTGGAGAGTTGTCAGTTTTTTTTTACACTGGCATTTCTCACCAAGGTAGAGGAGTGACCCAAAGTAAGAAGATATTTACCATCATTCGTTCAGTAATTGTTTTATGAGATGTGTACGAACATCACAGTTTACATATGTATTGTTATTTTTATTGAGGTAGTATTCCACAACTAATTCCCAAACTAGAGATAAGATAAGATAAGATAAGATTTCGTTCGGATTTTTAACCCCGGAGGGTTAGCCACCCAGGATAACCCAAGAAAGTCAGTGAGTCATCGAGGACTGTAACTTATTTCCATTGGGGTCCTTAATCTTGTCCCCCAGGATGCGACCCACACCAGTCGACTAACACCCAGGTACCTATTTGCTGCTAGGTGAACAGGACAACAGGTGTAAGGAAACGTGTCGAAATGTTTCCACCCGCCGGGAATCGAACCCGGGCCCTCCGTGTGTAAAAGCGGGAGCTTTAGCCACCAGGCCACCAGTAATCTTAGTGATGTTTTGCTCTGTTCTGAGCCGTTAACGTGTTATGACATAGAGAGAAAGAGGGAGTGGAGTAAGAAGTCAGATCAGGTGAAGAGGTAAGGTGCTAGTAAGGTCAGCTCAGGTAGGGTGATGACAGAGGTCAGTTCAGGTAGGTGATAGCAGAGGTCAGCTCAGGTAAGGTGATAGCAGAGGTCAGATCAAGTAAGGTGATAGCAGAGGTCAGGTCAGGTAAGGTGATAGCAGAGGTCAGCTCAGGTAAGGTGATAGCAGAGGTCAGCTCAGGTAAGGTGATAGCAGAGGTCAGGTCAAGTAAGGTGATAGCAGAGGTCAGTTCAGGTAAGGTAATAGCAGAGGTCAGCTGAGGTAAGGTGAGAGCAGAGGTCAGCTGAAGTAAGGTGATAGCAAAGGTCAGCTGAGGTAAGGTGATAGCAAAGGTCAGCTGAAGTAAGGTGATAGCAAAGGTCAGCTCAGGTAAGGTCATGCCAATGATGTTCCACACTCACTAATACTGACAAGTTGGTCTTCATATGTCTTGGTAATTGTCTTCTTAAAATTTATTAAACTCCTGCAGTTCATCAACATCTCTTCAGAATATTTCAAGAGTATATAATATAATATTTCAAGAGTATGTGAGGCAATACAGCCATTCTCATTATCTCAAACACCACCAAACAGGTGCATACACTGTACTAAAATACGAAAGAAGAACAAAAAAGACACCTTATGTAAAATGTGTAAGGGGTGGGTGCATAATGGATGTATGTACAATTATAGCAACGGTGCCAGAATTCATTTTGTGTGTAACAAATGCACTTTGGCACAGTTACCCTTTAGCATGATGACACTGATTTACCTAATTTTACTACAAATGTCCCATTGCCATATGTTGATTATAATTATTTTATGAAAACTGGCCTTCAATTTATTCATGTCAATGCAAGATCACTTTTTCCAAAATTGGCAGAGATTAGGATTTTAGCTAACAGAACTAGGGTGGCAGTTATATCCATCTTTGAATCCTGGCTGGATGATACGGTGACTTGACGACGAGGCCAAAATAGAAGGTTACAATATAAAATGCTTAGATAGGAACAGAAAAGGTGGTGGAGTATGTGCCTACATAAGAAATGACTTAGCTTACAATCCAAGACCTGATTTAAAAAACAATAAACTGGAGATTCTATGGTTTGAAGTGCTGCTTCCCAAGACCAAACCCATCTTAGTAGGAACTAGTTACCACCCTCCTACCCAGGATCAGTTCTTAGAAGACTTTTCCAGAGTCTTGTCCGGGCTTAAAAACAATTGCGAGACAATAATACTGGGAGACTTCAATATCTATTTTCAGCAGCAAAATAACAGACTATGCAAAAGATATAAGCAAATTCTAGGTTTAAATAGTTACACAAGACTAATTAATACACCAACCCGGATCACACAGTTCTCAGCCACCATAATTGATCACATACTTTGTAACCACTCTGAGAACATTAGTCAGTCAGGCATCATTACCACAGGCCTTAGTGATCATTTCATCATTTACTGCACCAGGAAAATCACAAGGGATAGGATAGGCCTACACAGGACAATAAAAATGAGGTCAACTATAAACTACAGTAAAGAAACACTGGTAAATAGGCTACACAATTGTGACTGGACAGAGATAACAAGTTGCACGGACATAAATGATGCCTGGGAAAAATTCAAAACAATGTTCACTGTTATCCTTGATAATATTGCACCAGTTAAAGAGGTCAGGATTAAACGGAGAACCGAACCCAGGATGGCTACTGAGATATTAGATAATATGAAATTCAGAGACCAGTTGCTAAAAAGATTTAAAACAAACAGACGGGATATTGCAGCACTAAATGAATTCCAAAGGGTGAGGAACAGAGTGCAGAGACTTATAAAAGGAGCAAAGGCAAAGCACTATTGCTCAAAAATAACCCCAGAAGGCTCTGGCAACAACTAAAACAGTTGGGGTATAGCCATAAACCAGTAGATAGGTCTAACATAGTACTCGTTATCGATAACGAGGTATGTCACGAAACAACTAAAGTGGCAAATTGCTTTAATTCCTACTACACCTCTGTCGCATCAGCATTAGTAAGTAAACTACCAGCTGCATCAAATACCTTTAACACAGACTCAGATAAGTTTCAAACATAATGTACCAATAAAGGGGCAACCCCCAAACGGTTGTATCTCATGACTTTATTCAAAAAGAACTCAGCAGGTTAAACCCATCTAAAAGCACCACCCCCGATAACATCCCGTCTGAGTTCCTAAAAGATGGTGCTTCTGAATTGTCAATCCCTATTGCTCACATAATAAATTTTTCCATCACCACTAATACTGTACCGGAGGGGTTTAAGGAGGCCGGAGTTACTCTTCTCTATAAGAAAAATAGTAGGTCTGATATAAGCAACTATAGGCCTGTTAGTGTACTCAGTGTAATATCCATAATTTTAGAGAGGGCAGTGTACTGTCAAGTAGTTAAGTACCTTAATGACAACAACATTCTCCATAGCTGTCAATCAGGCTTTAGAAGATCTTATTCAACCGACACCTCCCTAACTAATCTGATGGATTACATGAGAACTGAAATGTCAGTGGGGAACCTCAAAGGTATGGTAACTTTAGACTTGCAAAAGGTCTTCGATACTGTCAACCACAATATATTATGTAAGAAACTTCAAGCTATCGGTATAGGTTCTGTAGACTGGTTTAAGTCCTACCTTAGCAACAGGAGACAAATTGTCAAAATCAATAAAACAGAATCAGAGCCCCTGCCAATAGCATGTGGAGTTCCCCAAGGTAGTATTCTGGGTCCCTTATTAATCCTATGCTATGTTAACAACATGCCTATCATTGTAAAGTGCAAACTTTTACTGTATGCAGATGACAGTGCTCTGTTAGTGTCAGGTAAAGACCCACAAGATATAGCTAATGTATTAACACTGGAACTAGAGTCCTGCAGCAAATGGTTAGTAGACAACAAACTATCATTACACTTCGGGAAAACTGAAGCCATTCTCTTTGGCATGAGACATAAACTGAGAAGGGTAAATAATTTTAATGTCCAGTGTAATGGGGAACCCCTGACTTCAGTTTCCTCAGTAAGATATCTGGGAATCCCATTTGACCCATGCATGTCAGGAGTACAGTAGGGCCCCGCTTTACGGCATTCCGCTAATACAGTCATTTCAAATTATGACCAAAACTCGCTATACAGCTCCCCCCACCTGACTTTCTAATACGGTCACTGCGCCCCATCCTGTTTGTTTACATTCTCTGAGAGATCCGTAAGCACTAAATCTCTCCATTTTGTCTGGAAACTCCAAAATTTCAAGTGTTTTTTAAAAGTTATTTCATATTTTATATACATTCTGATAATTATACTTATGTATACCTGTACCTAAATAAACTTACACAGTGTGCTGGCGTGCAGGTACACATTAAAATCGGTAAGAGTGTCTTATGTCTCCAGACGTCATATTAGTAATGATAATAATCACCGAGTCTCATTTAAATGTCATATATTATGTTAATATACACATTTTCATTAATCCATCTATGATATTTTTTCAAAATTATATAATAAACACGATGCATAACATATAAATATGATAAGTACACCCCACAGTAGAATAAATAAACATAAATATGAAATGTGGTAGCAGACGACTTGCACAAGTGATGCCATATTAGAAATAATAATAATAATCATTGAGTCTCACTAAATGTCGTATATTATGTTAATATACACATTTTCATTAATCCATCCATGATATTTTTTTCAAAATTATATAATAAACATGATACATAACATATAAAGATGATAAATGCACCCCACAATAGAATTTATTTATTTATTTATTTATTTATTTATTTATTTATTTCCAATTTGAGCACACATACAGAGGTACAAAAAAAATACAGATAAGAGCAGCATGCCAAAGCCACTTATACTATGCATAGCATTACGGGCTGGCTTAAAATTAACTTAAGATTAACTAAGGAATGATGAAATCAGTGATAAAACATTAATGTAAACAGATTACTATAAAGCACAAGTGAGTATTACAAAGACAGGTCATATGGTTGCATGCATTGTTGTACATTCAGTCGTATGGAGTATTCTGTTAGGTAGTGTATTTAAAAAATAATAAAGTTAGATTCGGTTTTTAGGTTTAACATTTATGTGATATAATTGTGAGAAACATTTAAGATATACAATTTATAAGGTTCAGTTATTCAGTATTTATTTGGTTTTGGGTGAG